TGAAGGATGGTGCACCCAACAGCGCAAAGAGGCCGAGGACCTGAAGCATCTCGAAAACAGCTTGGAAGCGAAACTATGCTCAATTCTCTTGGCATTATGCTGTCACTATCAACAGCTAAGAGCTTTTGAATCAAAATCTGCAGCTCCGCAGGGTTGGGAATGGCGCTCCCCCCAAACAATAGGCTCAAATGAATAAACGCGCGCTATATTAAATATATATATATATATGGAATATGTATATTATAAATTGTCAATTTTGGCCTTGCTGTATGTCACATGTTGACCAAGATGCATCGTTCGCCACCGCCGCAGACTCAAGGGTGGGTGGGTGGCTGTCCGTTCGTGCGAGCCATAGGAAACGACCGTCGGAGCATCACAGGGCTGGTGTTGGAAAAGGGAGCGGTCGCTTAGGCTACGGTGGAAGGGAAGCAGGAGCTTCGACCATTTTGTGCAGGGCACCTTTGTTGAACAGGGAATACAACCAGGAGAAACCATACACCTTTTTGCTTGCTCGCGAGAGTCCAATCACCGGCTGCCCCCCTACCAAGTCGAAGCCGGTGTGGTTTCGATATTGGTAGCGGAGCTACCTGGACGATGGCACAGGGAGTTCTTGAACAGACCTTGCTGGAGCTGTTGACATTGCATTGTTGTACAAGTTGAGCTTGAGATCATGCCGGACTCCGCAGGTTCAACGACCTTGGACGCAGGTGCCGCAGGATCTAGCAATCAGCTGGCTTCACTGATTCCGACTTTCGATCCCTCGACAGATAGTGTGGAGCAGTGGACCCAAAAGATTGAGCTGCTCACCAAGGTGTGGCCTGAAGGCCGTTTGAACGAGTTAGCAACTCGCATCATCCTCAACTGCCGTGGATCGGCATTTGCTAAGTTACAGCTGCAACAGAAAGAACTTCTTTCAGGCACCGTCGAAAGCATCGCCAAGATTGTGGAAATTGTTGGAGGCCAATTTGGCCAGGTAAGTCCTTGAAACCACGAAATCATCTAGTAGTTTGATGTTATTGGACATTAATCAACTTTGGCCGCAGGATGCATTTGCTGTCCAAGACACTGTGCAGGTACAGGGATCAAAACCGATCCATTCGATTCAGACAGCTGAACCAGTTTCAAAAGATCAGCCTGCCGCAACCGCATCTCCAGCTGACGCAGAACAGTGTGTCATCGGCCGTGCAAGAGCATTGTCCAACTGAATTAAGCCCAATGCCTCCGAAACAGAAAGAGTACTCGAGACGACTGAAGCAACTTTCTCCGAAGTGAGACAGTGTATCAACCAGTCGAACAATGTGTCAGTGCCAGAAAAGCCTGCTAGCTCTCTCAAGCCGATTCGATTCCGCCGCCTCTCGCTGAGACACATCATGACTCTGAGCCAGAAGCTAGCCATCTTTCAGGAGGAAATCAAAAAGGAACAGAATCAGGAAGACCTGAAGGACATCGACCAGCTTCCGTTGAGCACGCTCAGGACCATGACCATCAAGTTCGGAAAAGCCAAGCTCGGCCAATCCTTCGAGGAAGCTTTCCAAGACCAGAGCTGGACAAAGTGGTTTGTTGCCACTTACGAGAACAGCAACAAGAAGATCGATCATCGCACTTTCCTGCGGTACGTGGCCCTTCGCGTGGAGGAAAGCCCGACGCTCCCAATGAACACCAAGAAAAAGTCCGATCAGTACCTGCGCCTTTCTGCTCAGGAACCTGGGAAGTCATCCCAGGCTGCACCGGTCGAGACGCCAATGTGGGATCCCGAAGAACATCAGCTCGAGGAGATCCTGGGTCACCAAGAACAACAGGATCTGCGGATGAGTCGCATCGAGAATGCATTGATGGCCATCATGCACCACATCGAAAGCAAGGCCGAACCGACCTCGGAACCCTCGAATCCATGGATGATGGTCAAGGAGGAGCCGAAATGAATCGGGCCGTGATTGAGCAAATTTGCCACTTCATGAGTGAGGTCGCTTGCAATTTGGAACGAGCCGAATTTGACTTTGATTTTGATGATCATCAACCTCAAGAATATAATCGCATGTGCTCTCAATACCTCACCAAGTTCCGAGAAGAGTTCCAGCCTCGCCCCCAAAGAGCATTTTTGTTCGAAATCATGTGTTCCAAGAACAGCGAGCTGACCCGCCAAGGGGCAAAGCAAGGCCTCCGGGTCAAACGATTTGGCTTGGAAGAAGGAGACCTTCGCACCAAGGTAGGACGCCGCAATCTGTTCTGCCACCTCGCAAGAGATAGACCTGAACATGTCTGGATCAGTCCCACCTGTGGACCTTGGTGCCAATGGTCCAATCTCAATAAGAGCAAAGGCGCTGAGCTTCGGAACAAGATCCTGGCTAATCGTAGAGATAGCATATGGCAATTAGGGCTGAGCAGAATGCTTTGTGATCATCAAGTCACTCACTCCAGACAGTTCCATCTCGAACAACCACAAGGATCACAGATGTTAAAGCTACCATGCATGCAAAAGATTATGCGAGTCACGAAGCCAAGCACTTTTGACCTTTGCAGAGTAGGCGACCTGCGTGAGCCCATGTCCCAGGATTTCATCCGCAAGCGACTCACTGTTTGCACCACGTCGAAAGAACTCCATGCAAACCTCCATCAGAGGACATGTCAAGAGTCCCACCGACATCACCAGATTGCCGGGATGGAAAACCGACCTCGCTGTCACAATTCACTGAACTGTATCCTAGGAAGTTTGCCAGACAGATAATCGAATGTCTTCGTAGGGCGCCAATAGGTGCGGGACATCTCTTTGCTGCCGATGAAGACCATCCCACCAAACGAAGACGATTGAGTCAGAAAGTAAATACCAATCAGATTCAACTGCTCACGGAGAATCCCCCTTGGGAGGATATCATGAAAGTTGTAGATCAGGAAACTCCACGGATTGGCATTCGAGTAATCACCGAAGGTTTCCTTTTGCAAGCCGTCCAACGCAAGTGTCCACAACAGAAAATTCACCATCTAGTCTTGTGTAGAGGCATGGGTCGAATGGTAGGTCCCAATCTCAAACTTTCCCCAGGAGATGCACCGCTCCGTCGATATGTGTGCATTCGACGCCGATTCGAAGATGTTGCCGTTGAAGAACAGTGGGAACCATGGGAAAGGCTCACTGCCAGAAAAATGCGAAGACCATGAAAGACTGTTCATAGCACCTGGCTTTTAAATCTTTACATCTGGCCTTTGAAAACTTATGTAACTTTAGGCA